GCACTCGTTAATTCCCTCAAAAAATGACCGCAACCACGTGCCAAGTTGGGCTGGGAATGCGGGAGGCAGACGGAGTGCAGCTCTGAAGAGGAGCAGAAGACCAAGTCTGAGTGCCCACTATGTGCAGGTCCCACCTGCCGTCGCCTTCAGTCTGCACAGGACTCCTGCCACGTTGGTGCCATCATCAAACCCATTTATAAATGACAAACCAAGGCCCAGTGAGGCTGTCACTCGGGGATGGTCAGCCACCAAGTGGCAGTCCAGGGGTGACCGTGCTGGAGATGACAGACCTGTGCATACCTCTGGCTATTTCCAACCCCCGAGCCTTTATCTCCCTGTTCTTTCCCCGGGTAGCAGCCCCCCTGCTTTCTGGCCTGTGGAACTGCTACTCACCTGTGGAGTTTTAGGCCGGGCTTCAGGAAGCCTCAGGCAGACCTCTGGGCTTCCCCAGCGCTCACCCAACCCTCTCCCACCACGGCAATCACACCAACACTGGCTCTCTCATCTCTAACTTTTAAGAAAACATGTCCCCTCTCAGTAAAATACCTTTAAGTGTACACCCCATACAGGCATGTTTCTTTTTTCCTAATCTTTATTGTTGAAAATATTACAGATGTCTCCCTTTTTCCCCCATTGGCCCCCTCCCCCCCAGGCCTTCATCACCCTATGGTCTGTGTCCACGGGTTATGCATATATGCATACAAGTTCATTGGTTGACCTCTTCCCACTTCCCTCCCCTGCCTTCCCTCTGAGGTTCGAAAGTCTATTCATGCTTCTATGTCTTTGGATCTATTTTTGTTCATCAGTTTATTTTGCTCATTAGATTCTACGAGATTATGTGATGTTTATCTTTCTCCGACTGGCTTATTTCACTTAGCATAATACTCTCCAGGTCCATCCATGCTGTTGCAAATGGTAAGAGTTCCTTCTTTTTTACAGCTGCATGGTATTCTATTTGTCGGGAGCCGGTCCATGCTTGCTGTTTCAAAGGACCTGGCATATATGGCATACTGTTCTTAAAATGTTTTCTCACCTTCTTGGCACTATGTGTTTTAACCAGGGTCTCCTCTCTGAGAAAGGTTGTTTCCCCAGGTAGGGATTTTCCCCTGAAGTTAGGGAGGGAATAAAACCTCTTAACTAAGTGCCAGGTGGGTAATTAATCACTTTACTACAATCATGCTTAAGCTACATAATCTTTACTCCCTAGAATGGAGATAAGAAACGCCCTAACCTTTTGAATAGAGATTGATAGGATTGGAATCAACTGGTATAAATACAGATGTAACAACACAGAACTCAGAACACAGAACTAAGAAGACAGAACCAGGAGGCACAGAACCTACACAGAACGTTCTCTAGAGACAGAAGAACTTCGCTGGGGAGAACATGGCAAAAGATCCTGGACTGAACCTGACTAGAACCTGGTGACTGAACCTGGCTGGAGAACCTGGAGAACCTAGCAAGAGAACATGGACACAGAACCTGGCTGGAGATCCAGACCAGAACTTGGCTGGAGATCCTGGCTAGGCTGCTGATCAACTGAACGCTGTCTCTGTGTCATTCCTTCTTCGCCGACTCCGTCTACGCCTTTGGGAACCCCTGGACCTGCTGGGGCTGGACCCCGGCACTATTGTGTAAAAGTACCACGGATTTTTTATCCGCTCATCTACTGATGGGCACTTAGGCTGTTTCCAGATCTTAGCTATTGTAAATTGTGCTGCTATGAACATAGGGGTGCATATATCCTTGCTGATTGTGTTTCAGGTTTCTTAGGATATATTCCTAGAAGTGGGGTCACTGGGTCAAATGGCAGTTCCATATTTCTTTTTTTGAGGAAACTCCATACTGTTTTCCATAATGGCTGCACCAGTCTGCATTCCCACCAGCAGTGCACGAGTGTTCCCTTTTCTCCGCATCCTCTCCAGCACTTGTCATTTGTTGATTTGTTGATGGTAGCCATTCTGACAGGTGTGAGAATTATCGTTTTAATTTGCATTTCTCTGATGATCAGTGACTTTGAGCATTTTTTCATGTCTCTTGGCCATCTGTATGTCCCCTTTGGAGAAGTGTCTATTTAGGTCCTTTGCCCATTTCTAAAAATATTTTTTTATTGATTTCAGAGAGAAAGGGAGAGGGAGAGAGAGATAGAAACATCAATGATGAGAGAGTTCCTGATCATCTGCCTCTACACACCCCACACAGGGGAGGGAGCCTGCAACCCAAGCATGTGCCCTGACTGGGAATCAAACCCTGACCTCCTGGTTCATAGGTCGACGCTCAACCACTGTGCCACACCGGCTGGGCCCATTTTTTAATTGGATGGCTTGTCTTCCTTCTGTTGTTGTGTGAGTTCCTTATATACATATTTTGGATACTAACCCTTTATCAGATGTGTCATTGCCAAATACGTTCTCCCATACAGTGGGCTCCCTGTTTTGTTGATGGTTCTTTTGCTGCAGCAGCTTTTTATTTTGATGTCCCATTTGTTTATTTTCTCCTTCGTTTCCTTTGCCCCAGGAGATGTATCCGTAAACATTTTGCCACAAGAGATGTCTGAGATTTTGCTGCCTATGATTTCTTCTAAGATTTTTATGGTTTCACATCTTACTTTCAAGTTTTTTATCCATTTTGAGTTTATGTTTGTGTATGGTGTGAGTTGGTGGTCCAGTTTCATTCTTTTTGCATGTATCTGTCCAATTTTCCCAGCAGCATTTACTGAAGAGACTGTCCAGACTCCGTTGTATGCTCTTGCCTCCTTTGTCAAATACTAATTGAGCATAATGGCTTGGGTCGATTTCTGGGGTCTCTGTTCTGTTCCATTGGTCTATATGCCTGTTCTTGTACCAGTACCAGGCTGTTCTGAGTACAATGGCTTTGTAGTAGTTGATATCTGGTATTGTGATTCCTCCAACTTTGTTCTTCTTTCTCAAGATTGCTGTAGCTATTCGGGATCTTTTTTTGGTTCCATATAAATTTTTTGGAGTGTTTGTTCTAGGTCTGTGAAATATGCCATTGGTATTTTAATAGTGATTGCATTGAATCTATAGATTGCTTTGGGTAGTATGGACATTTTAATGATATTGATTCTACCAATCCATGAACATGGTATATTCTTCCACTTGTTTATGTCTTTCTCTTTCTCTTTTTTCAACGTCCTGTAGTTTTCCTAGTACAGGTCTTTTACCTCCTTGGTTAAGTTTATTCCTAAGTATCCTAATTTTTCTGTTGCAATGGTAAATGGGATTGAGTTTTTCTTTTTGAGAGTTCATTATTGTGTATAAAAATGCCATGGATTTCTGGGTGTTAATTTGGTATCCAGCTACATTGCTGAATTCATTTATTAAATCTAGTAGTTTTTTATGGAGTCTTTAGGGTTTTTTATGTACAATGTCACGTAATCTGCAAATAGAGTTTTGCTTCCTCCTTTCCAATTTGGATGCCTCTTATTTCTTCTTCTTATCTGATCGCCATGGCTAGGACTTCATGTACTGTGTTGAAGGAGAGTGGTGAAAGAGGGCATCCCTGTCTTGTTCCCGTTCTTAGGGGAAATGGTTTTAGTTTTTGCCCATTGAGTATGATGTAGGCTGCAGGCTTGTCATATAAGCTTTTATTATGTTGAGGTATGATCCCTCTATTCCCACTTTGCTGAGAGGTTTTATCAAAAAAGGGTGCTGGCCTGGCCTTGGTGGCTCAGTGGTTGAGCAGTGGCTATGATCCAGGAGGTCACCTTAGATTCCATTTGCGGGCTCGATCAGACAAAGGCAGCCGTACAATGATTCTCTCTCATTATTGACTTTTTTTTTCTCTCTCTCTCTCCCTCTCCTTTCTTCTCTGAAATCAATAAAGATATACTTTTTAAAAAGTGTTGGATTTTGTTGAATGCTTTTCCTGCATCAATTAATATGATCATGTGATTTTTGTCCTGCAATCTGTTTATATGATGTAAATTGATTTGTGAATATTGTACCAGCCTTGCATCCCTGGAATAAATCCCACTTGGTCATGGTGTATGATCTTATTAATGTATCGCTGGATCGAATTTGCTAAAATTTTGTTGAGGATTTTAGCATCTATGTTCATCAGGGATGTTGGCCTGCAGTTCTCTTTCTTTGCAGTGTCTTTACCTGGTTTTGGAATTAGGGTAATGCTGGCCTCATAGACAGAGCTTGGAAGTGCTCCTTCCTCTTGGATTTTTTGGAATAGTCTGAGGAGGATCAGTGTTAGCTCTTCTTTGAATATTTGGTAAAACTCCCCTGTGAAGCCATCCGGACCAGGGCTTTTGTTCCTGGGAGCCTTTTTATTACTGCTTCCATTTCCTCAGTCGTTATCAGCCTATTCAGGTGTTCTGATTCTTCCTGATTGAGTTTTGGAAGATTGTGTTTTTCTAGGAATGTGTCCATTTCATCCAGGCTGTCCAGTTCATAGTAGTTTTTTTTTCCGGATACTTTGTATTTCTGTGAGGTCAGGCATATTTCTTTATAAAGTATATACACCTACTTCTGTCAATCCATATGTATTAAATACCAGTAAATTCTAGTTCTTTATGAAAAATAAAGAGACAGGATTTGATCTAATACAGTGGTTCTCAACCTCCCTAATGCCGCGACCCTTTAATACAGTTCCTCATGTTGTGGTGACCCCCAACCATAAAATTCTTTTCGTTGCTACTTCATCACTGTAATGTTGCTACTGTTAGGAATCGTCATGGAAATATCTGATGTGCAGGATGTATTTTCATTGTTACAAATGGAACATAATGAAAGCATAGTGATTAATCAAAAACAATATGTAATTATATATGTGTTTTCCGATGGTCTTAGGCGACCCCTGTGAAAGGGTCGTTCAACCCCCAAAGGGGTCGCGACCCACAGGTTGAGAACCGCTGCTCTAATATTTTCTTCCCACACCCCTTTGACCACTGACAAATTACAAAACTATAACTGCAGTGATGCCATCCTCCGGCTGTTGGGGTTCTGAGAAGCACTAGGGGTTCAGCCTCCTTCCCACCAGCCTGGCCCCCGGGGCGGGGCGCTGCGGGAGCACCTGGCGGTGCCGGCCCCACCGTCGGCGGCCGCGGGGCGGGGCCGGGGCAGCGGATCAGGGGGCAGCCCGGGCGGGCGCAGAGCCGCGGGCCAGAGGGCGCGGGAGGCGAGGCGATGCCGCTGCAGGACGATGCCCTCCGGGAGGTGTGGGCCTCCGACAGGTGCGCGTCCGAGCCTGGGGGCCCCGGTGGAGGGGCTGGGGGGCGGGACAGGGAGGGAGACGCACCGATTCCTTCGCTGCCCGCAGCGGACACGAGGAGAGCGGGAGCCCCGCGGCCCAGCGGCGCCCCAAGCAGGTATGTCACCCGCTGGCAAGGAGGCAGATGCCCGCTGTCAGCCCCGCGGGGTCGGGGTCACAGACGGGAGGGTCCCCTGGAGTGCGCTTGGAGGAAGGGGTGCTGGGGACGGGGGTGTCCGGGGATGTGGGCTGGGGCCAGGGGGCACCCTTCCTCACCCCCAGGAGGAGGCTGCAGCTCCCTCCGATGATAATCCGGGTTATTTCTGGCGGCTCCGGGATTAGAGGGGGCAGGCAGCCCCCCGCCCTCTTCTTCCTCTTGAACCCCCTCCGCAGCGACCCGCCCGGGGACCGAGGCTGAAGAAGCGGACGGAGGCCCCTGAGCCCCCCGCGCCCCCGGGACCCACGCCCAGGAGACCCGGAGGCGGGCGGGGGGCCGAGCTCGGGGGCGCCCCGCAGGGTGAGGCGGGGGAGGGGACGGGCGGGGCGGAGGTGGGGCAGGTGTGGAGGGTGAATGAGAGGGGGAAGGGGTGTGGACGGTGGGGACAAAGGGGGGACGGGGGGAACAGGGGGGGCGTCCCAGGGCAGTGCGCCCTCAGAGGAGGAGGGGCGCCCTCGGAGGAGGAGGGGGGCGCCCTCGGAGGAGGAGGGGGGCGCCCTCGGAGGAGGAGGAGGGGGGCCCTCGGAGGAGGAGAGGGGCGCCCTCGGAGGAGGAGGAGGAGGGGGGCCCTCGGAGGAGGAGGGGGGCGCCCTCGGAGGAGGAGGAGGGGGGCCCTCGGAGGAGGAGAGGGGCGCCCTCGGAGGAGGAGGAGGGGGGCCCTCGGAGGAGGAGGGGGGCGCCCTCGGAGGAGGAGGAGGGGGGCCCTCGGAGGAGGAGGGGGGCTGTCGGAGGAGGAGGAGGAGGAGGGGGGCCCTCGAGGAGGAGGAGGGCCCTCGGAGGAGGAGGAGGGGGGCGCTCGGAGGAGGAGGAGGGGGGCGCTCGGAGGAGGAGGGGACCCTCGGAGGAGGAGGGGCGCCCTCAGAGGAGGAGGAAGAGAGGGGCCGTCGGAGGAGGGTCCGCTGCCTGACCCACGTCTCGGCTCAGCCGCGCGGAGGCGGAGGCCGCGGGAGCCGCCCGCCCCCCAGCCCGTCTACGCCAAGTTCGTCCGGGACCCCGAGGCCAAGCGCGACCCCCGAGAAACCTTCCTGGTGGCCCGAGCCCGCGGCGGAGAGGCGGGTGAGAGGCGGGGACGTGGGGGGGGGGGGGGCTGCGGGCGGAGAAGCAGAAACTCGGGGAACCACCCCCCCCACCCCCCACCCCGTCTCCGGGTTGGCCTCTAAGCCGGAAAAACCTTACTCTCTGGCTCCCCCCTTTCGGGTGGGGAGACTGAGGCACGGGGGCGACGCGTTTTGCCTGGAGCTTCGGTGGCTGCGCAGGTGCAGTGGAGCCGCAGGGGTGGGGCGGGAGGAGGTGAGGCCCCGGGGAGGAGGGGGCACCCAGAACCGGAGGGCGAACCCCGAGACCCGGCCCCACCTGCAGCCTCTCCCCGGGCTCCGGTCGCCCCGTTTCCTGAGGGAGCTGCTGGACCCCCCCCTTCCACAATCTGCGGGGCCGGGCTCCCCAGGTGATGGGCCCACCGCGCCCCAATGTGCGGAGTTTCTACCCGCAGAGGAGGAGGCCGCGGAAGAGGAGGGCCCTGAAGATGAAGAGGAGGAGGAGGAGGAGAGAGTCCCCCCGCCCCGCAAGAAGCCCCCTAAGGAGAAGCCTGCGGCAGACCCCGGGGCGAGGAGGGCCAGGGCGGGGGCGCCGCAGGGTGGGTCCCAGCACAGGTGCAGCCGCCCGGGTCCCCTCACTGCACCGCCTGCGGCCCCACCAGAGTCCCTGCCCTGGTCTCTTCCCAAGGAGGCCTCAGGGACCGAGCCTCCCAACCCCCCAACCCCCTCCCCCCCCCCCGTCCCCCCCACCCCCGCCCAGGGCGCTTGAGCCGGGAGGACAGAGAGTGGGCTTTTCTTTGTGACTTTTATTTAATTCTTTTTAAAACCCAAATGAATTATTATCATTGTCATAAAAGCATCAAAGTGACTACAGTAAAAATCAATCCACAGAAATACGTTCCCGGGGCGGCTCCCGGCCTGAATGCCCTCCAGGGGCTGCCTGGTCTAAATGTGCCCCTTGTGCCCAGGGTCACCCAGGGGACATCTCACGCCCGCCCTTCATTTCCAGGGGAGGCGGGAAGCCCTGTCCCCCCAGCAAAGCCTCTTCGGGTGAAGAAGAAGGCGCCAGCGGGGGAAGGGACCAAGACGGGAAAGACAAAGAAGAAAGGTGGGCCTGGCGCCTGGAGGAGGGGCCCTGGGTGTGGTGGGGTGTGACCCCGCTTCATGTGCACACACAGGGTCTGGGCCAGCTGACAAGGAGCCCCCGGCGAGCTCGGCCGGAGCGCAGAAGGCCCCGGAGGCCCTGTTTCTGGTTGGGGACGGCGGCCCCGCGGGGAAAGCCCTGAAGAAGAAAGGTGGGTGGCAGTGGCCTCTGGTGCCCAGACCTGGAGAGGCAGGCCTGGCGGTGGGAGCTGGCACAGCGGGTGCTGGAGTCAGAAGACTTGGGGGCGCCTTGACCTCCATTTCAATAGCCGTGTGCCTCAGGCAGGTGTCTGACTGTGAGGGTCCGATAATAGTGAGAGAGTAGTCACCTGGGGTTTCCCTTGTGGTTGTGGGAAGGGTCCGAGGGAGACATGGCAAACCATGAAGTGCTCCGCCAGGGCTAAGAGGCTTGCGCCTGCTCTGTTCCAGGTACTCCCAAAGACTCGGAGGAGGAGGGGAAGCGGGAAGAGGGGGAGGAGGAAGACCTGGCAGCTGTGGCGACCAAGAACAGCAACCAGAAGGGCAAAGCGAAAGGAAAAGGCAAAAAGGTTGGGTCCCAGAGGAGAAGGCGGCTGCGGTCCCTACGGGCGCAGTGGCAGGGAACTGGCGTTGGGGATTAGAGTGTGGGCCTGTGGGCTGGGGCTATGGCGTCCCTGGGGTTAGAATGTTGGCTCCCCCTCTGGTGCCAGGATATGTGGACAAAGGGCACCAGACTTGTGAGGGCAGAAGAGGCAGTTGTGGGGTCACCAGGTTGGGACTGGCCACCCGGGGGCCTTATGTCCTCTGGTCTCTAAGCACCTCCCTTCCCCGCTGCAGCCAGAGCTGCCCCACAGGAAGACACACATTTCCTGGCCCAGGGAAGTGGCCGGCAGGCACACGTGTACACACCCTTGGGCACACCGATGGCCTGAGAGCCAGCTGTGCGAGGTGCTAAAATATTTCCCCCGACTGACCTTGGCCCCCCAAGTGCTGTCTGCTACCCCAACCAGACCTCCTAACCTTCCAGCAACTACATGGTGTCTGCGGCCTCCAGGACCCTCCTCCAGGCCTCCCAGGGTCCATTCTGACTGGGAATTCTCCAGGGCGGACAGGTCCTTAAATGGTTTGCACATTCTCTCCCAAACTCAGGCACCAGCACACACAAACTCAAGTAAGCAGGGGAGAAAGGTCCAACGGGACAGAGAACGTGACGAGAGTCTTTAGAATCTCGTTTCGGGGTGTGGAGATCACCATGAGGCAGGGCCGGCTCTTTGCTGTGTGGGCCTGTTAATGTGTTCAGGCATAGTCAGATCTTTGTTTGTTTATTAATCCTCACCCTAGGATACTTTTCTATTAATATTTTTAGGAAGAGTGGGAAGGAGGGAGACGGGGGGTGGGGGTAGGGGCGCGAGGGAGAGAAGCATCAATGTTAGAGAGACACATCGATGGGTTGCCTCCTGCACGTGCCCCACCTGGATGGGGATCAAACCTGCAACCCAGGTACCTGCCCTTGACTGGGAATCAACCCCAAGACCCTTCGGTGCAGGGCCAGGCGTGGTCAGATCGGGAGGGCTGAGTCACATTAGCCAAGATCACCGGACCCTGATGCATAGACTGGGAGCAGCTGATTCTGTCCGGGAGGGATAGAACTGGAGGCAGCACAGCCTGCCGTGCAGGAGCCCTGGAAGTTCGCAGCTACAGAAATGTTTGAATAAGCTCTGGCTTTCTCCAGCTCTCATTCCAAACATACTCTTGCGTTTCACAAGTTGCTTCTGGAGCAACCTAGAGTGGAGAGGAGAGGCTCGCTCGCCCACAGGCCAAGGGCCTCGCCTCACACACTGCAACCTGCCCTCAGCAAAAATGCCCAAGCACAGCGCGTCAGAGCTCACGGAGGGAGAGCCTCGGCCCTCCAGCGCACCCTCCCTCGCTGGTCCCTTCTCGCCCCGCTGGGAGGCTTAGGGCGAGGACCTCCGCTCCCCCTGTTGTGAGGGCAAGAACCTGAGGGCAAAGGGCACCAGGTTTGTGAGAACGGAGGGGCCAGTGCAACCAAATTGTTACTTTTTCCATGTGCTTCTCTATTCATTGTTTTGACCCTGTGTTACCATATAACAAACCACCCTAAAAATTAGTGTCTTAAAAAACAAACATTCGTTTTCTTCATTTCTTCACGGAGTCAGAAGCCTGGGAACAGCGTAGCAGGGCAGTTCTGGCTCAGGGGCCTCTGAGTTGCTGCAGGACAGCACCTGAACGCTTGGCTGGGAATGCAGGACCCACTTCTGCAATGGCTCCTGTCCTGGCTGTGGGCTGGTGGCCTCTCCCAGGGCTGCTGGGTGTTCTTATGACGTGGCAGCAGCTTCCCCAGAACCCCATGCAGTGTGGGCGGGGACCACCCCAGGGGTCAATTCCAGGGGCAGGGACCGTTGGGGGCCACCTTGGGGGTTGGCCGCTACTCGGAATATTTGCTATGTGCTCATGATAACAGCGGTGGCTAACACTTCCTCTGTGTTGTGTGCTTAGAGCAGCGATTTTCAACCCTTTTCATCTCCTTGCACGAAAACTAATTACTAAGATTCTGCGGCACACCCAAAAATTTATTTTTTACCAATCTCACCAAAAAAGTTATATATAATTTTGATGAATTCATACCAGGTGGCTACTGTTGTGCGGGCTGCTGTCATTTTTTTACTTGACAATCTAAGGCAGTGCTCCGCAAACTCACTAGTCAGCAGAGCCAAATATCAACAGGACAACGATTGAAATTTCTTTTGAGAGCCAAAACTTTTAAACTTAAACTATATAGATGGGTCCATTGTTATTAACTTGATCAGGGTGCTCCTCAGGCTTAGGAAGAGCCACACTCACGGGGCCAAAGAGCCGGGTGTGGCTGGCGAGCCGCAGTTTGCCGACCACGGATCTAGGGGAAAGGAGGTCAGGGCCCTCCCTAAACGGCCAGGTATCATGTGCTTTAAAAATCCCTGCGGCTCGCGGTTGAAAATCGCTGGCTTAGAACACAGCAACCGGTACCTTCGGCCTCGCCTCCGTCCACCCCCTGAGAGCGAACCTGCTTGGAGGAGGGTCTTGCCAAAGGCTCTGGATCCGACAGGAAAGTGGGCAAGTTAAATCCCAGCTCCACCTCTACCAGCTGCGAACTCAGCAAGCTCCTCAGTCTCTCTACCCTCAGCGTCCTCCTCTGTAGGACAGACAGTGACCTCCGGGGACAGTGGTAAGAGGATTAAATGAGTTAGGGTTTGAAAGTGCTGAGGACAATACCGGGCACACAGGCGGACTTGATATGAGTGTTTGCTAAACGTATAAATGAAACGGGCTCACCCCAGCCTGCCTACTTCTTAGGTGGGAAAACGGAGTTAGGGCACTTAGCCAAGCTGCCAGATAGGGGTGGGACCCGGACTTGGACCAGGCTCTCTGGCTCCGGAGTCTGGGCTCTTAGCCACAAGCTTCAGGACATAACGGTGAGTGCCAGCCCCCCAGAGCCCCTGGCATCGCCCTCCAGCTGCCTCTCTGTCCTCTCCCCACACAGAAAGCGGTGAGTTGGCCTGCTGCCTGCCCTGTCCCAGCCTGGGCACCTGCTGGGGGCAGGGGAGCTGGTGTCTGGGGCTGATGCCCCCTCTGTGCCCCCAGAAGGAGGCGCGGGCCACGTCCCCACCCGTGGGAGTGGGTGAGCCCCGGGAGTTCGTGCTGCGGCCGGCCCCTCAGGGCCGCACAGTGCGCTGCCGGCTGACGCGGGACAAGAGGGGCATGGACCGGGGCCTGTACCCCTCCTACTTCCTGCACCTGGACTCCGAGAAAAAGGTGGGCCAGGAGGAGGTGAAGGGAGAGGGAGGCGGAGGTGCCAGGACCAGGTGGAGGGAGGGTCTGGGCCAAGATGTGGGGAGGGGCTGCCAGCTAAAGGCTTCTCCTCCCCTCACCCACCTCCTCTGCCCTCTCTCACCGTCCCCACAGGTGTTCCTCTTGGCTGGCAGGAAGCGGAAACGGAGCAAGACAGCCAATTACCTCATGTCCAGCGACCCCACCAACCTGTCCCGAGGAGGGGAGAATTTTGTCGGGAAGCTGAGGTGGGCTGGGGGCTCAGGGCAGCAAGAGGCATGCGGTCTGCTCTGACCCCTGAGCCCACCGAGTGCCCACCACAGCGGACACCCTGGCCCAGGGCCTCTCATACCCTGGGTAGCCCACGTGGGGCCCTTGTTAATGGTTCAGTTCTAACAGCGCCCCAGGTGGTGCCCACGCTGCTGGCCCAGGGACCTCACAGGCGGAGAGGCTGAGTTCCAGGGTGGAGGACTGTGTTCATGTTGAGTTCCTGGCACCTGGCAGAATAGCTTCTCAGCAAATAGTTACTAAGTGAATGAATGAACAAGCATTTGGCACCTACCCTGTGCTATGTCTGCGGTACATCTCACCTAACCCTCACCACAAATCTGAGAGGTGGGGGCGGGACCCCTGAGTCAAGCCTTACTTCTTTTATTTATGTATTTAAGAAACACTTACATAAGGCAGTAAGTTCCAGATAAGAACCCACTGAATCCTCTTATCAACCATTTGGCTGTTCTTATACACCCATTTTGCAGATGGGGAAGCTGAGGCTCAGATCAGTTAAGTAACTTGCCCAAGGTCACACAGCTAGTCAGAAATGGAACTGAGATCTGAACGCTGCCCAGTCCCCTAGACCCATCTTTCTAAGACTCCATGAGGGAAGGCTGGGGCAGGGGACATGCAGTGCTCGTCCTAAGACACTTCACCCTGGGTGGTCCAGTAGCTCCCAGCACTGCTTGGCTGGAGGGTCTTGGAGTCGCGGCGTGGACCCCCTGAGCCCGCCCCAGCTCCGCCTGCTTTCAGGTCCAACCTCCTGGGGAACCGCTTTACCGTCTTTGACAACGGGCAGAACCCGCGCCACGGAGGAGGCGGCGCTGACGTGGGGAGCCTCCGGCAGGAGCTGGCAGCGGTGATTTATGTGAGTCTTCACCTGCCCCCGCGGCAGCCCCGCCCCTGGCAGGGCCAGCCTAAGGCGCGCCTCCCTCCCAGGAAACCAACGTGCTGGGCTTCCGAGGTCCGCGGCGCATGACGGTCATCATTCCGGGCATGAATTCGGACAACGAGAGGGTCCCCATCCGGCCCCGAAATGTGAGCCCTGCACCTCCCTGACCCCCCTCCCTGAAGGCCCCACTCGCTATGGGACTCACTCCGGGGGAGCTGGGGCGGGGCAGTAGCGGGGCGTCAGCTTGCCCAACACCCCACCTCTTGAGCACATTCCACCCTCCAGGACAAGTTTATTCTGGCCACTTGGGAGATGAATTCGAGGTTTTTGTCATTGAATTCACGGAAACAAACACAATGTTATGTGAGTGTTTTAAGTTTACAACAAATCACTCATTTACATATTCATTCAATTCACATACAGTATATTGAGTGCCAGGTAGTTAGGCACCGTGAAGACATCAGTGGACAATACGCAGGTCCCTCATGAAGCTGGCATTCTAGGGGAGCCAGTGCAAAGGCCGGGAGGCAGGGAGGTGCCTGATGGGTTTGAGGAACAGCAGGTGGCCCGTGTGGCTGGAGGGAGATAAGGTAAGAGGTGAGAGTGAGGGGAGATAGGGCCTGTCTCACTGGTTTTTATAGGAGAGAAACAGGAAGCCAGAGAAGGGTTTTGAGCAAAGGAGTGGCATGATTTGACTTATATTTTAATAGCGAAGGGGGTGCGTGTAGGGTAAGATGGAGAGATGTCCTGCAGGAAGGTGGCTTCCTTCCGTCAGGCTCTCGCCCTGCTCCTTAGCACTGTGGGTCGGTCCAGGATGAGCTCTAGCTGGTGTGGCTCAGTGGATAGAGCGTCGGCCTGCGGACTGAAGGGTCCCGGGTTTGATTCCAGCCAGCAGCACATGCTCAGGTTGCGGGCTCGATCCCCAGTGTGGGGTGTACAGGAGGCAGCCAATCAATGATTCTCTCTCATCATTGATGTTTCTATCCCTCTCTCCCTTCCTCTCTGAAATCAATAAAAATATATATTTTTTAAAAAGACACAGGATGACTGATGTGCCCCATACTCGCAGTGGTGCCATTTCACTCATTTACACGGAAAACTAATATCCCCTCGGCTGATCACACAGCCGTTCCTGCTGGAAAGTCACAGGTAGCCAGGCCCGCAGACCCAGGGGCACCGGCCACGGGAGGTCCTGGTCTGGAGGGCCTGTGGGTCCCACGCCTGCTCCTTCCACGCCTGGAGTGAACGCCCCCCCCGCCCCCCCGAGGCAGTGTCCCCACACCCCTGGGCTCAGTGAGAATCACCCAGCGCTGCTGTGGTCGCCCTTCATCATCTCAGGTCCTTCATTGCACAACCATTGGTTAAAACCGGGCTCTGGAGATCCAAAATCAGCACAACAGTGACCGTCAAAACAGTATCTGATCTTTAGGGAACATTTACTCTGGTCCAGGAACTGATTTAAATAACATGTCATGTGCTGTTAACTTACTCAGTCCTCACAACTGAGGGAAACCGAGGCACAGAGATATGACTCAAATACTGTGCCTGCCTCAGAGTGTCTGTCCTTCACACGCAGTGCGAGAAGTGAGCACGTGTCATGGAAGCTCAGCGCTAAAACACCTAAATCAGACATGGGGTCAGGAAGGCTTCTTGGGGGATATGATTTTTTTTTTAATTTTTTAAATTGATTTTGAGACAGAGGAAGGGAGAGAGACAGAGAAACATTAATGTGAGAGCGGCATGCCCATCAGCTGCCTCCTGCATGCCCTTCACTGGGGCCTGAGCTCGAGACCCCGCCTGTGCCCTGACCAGCAGCCCCTCAGTGCCAGGGAGGACGCCCAGCCCACTGAGCCCCACAGGCCAGGCCAGGAGAACATGATCTTGAGTAGACTCACTCCAGGCCATGAAGGTAACGTGACAGCTGCCAAGGAAACTCAGTAAAGAAATATCTCAAGAGCACCCGTACACAGGCCACTCCTTCCTTCCAGAAACTCTCCCAGGACACTTTATCGTAATCACTGTTTACCTGTGTAGCTCCCCGAGCTCAGCTGTGCACTCCTGGTAGGTCCCAGAATGTTTGGTTCATCCTTGTAATCAGGTGCCAGCATGGAGGGGCCCTTGGATACGGATGGCACAGAGCACCTACTGTGTGCCAGGTGCTACTTCCCATTTTCTTTTTTTAATGTTTTTTTAAAAAAATATTTTTTATTGATTTCCGAGAGGAAGTGCGAAGGAGATAGAGATAGAAACATGAGAGAGATTCATTGATTGGCTGCCTGCTGCACGCCCCACACTGGGGATTGAGCGTGCAACCCGGGCATGTGCCCTGACGTGGAATCGAACTGTGACCTCCTGGTTCATAGGTCAACGCTCAACCACTGAGCCACGCCGGCAGGGCTACTTTCCATTTTCCACCCTCCACTTTGGCAACCCATGGCAAGCCCCATTCCCACAGAGGCACACCCTGCCCACAAGGGTACCAGAAGCCACACATGCTCTCAAGGATACCCCAAGTCAAGGATACCCCAAGTGGATGCTGATTTCCAGGCTGTGCAAGGACACACATAGGTCCCAGGCCCCATCCCCTGTCAGTCCTGAGATATCCCACCCCCCTAACCATCCTCTCCCAATACCTCCCCGGCCCCCCAGGCCAGCGATGGGCTGCTGGTGCGCTGGCAGAACAAGACTCTGGAGAGCCTCATTGAGCTGCACAATAAGCCACCATTCTGGAACGAAGCCACTGGCTCCTACACCCTCAACTTCCAAGGCAGAGTCACGCAGGCCTCCGTCAAGAACTTCCAGATCGTGCACGCTGATGACCGTGAGTACGAGGGCCGAGACCAGCTGGCCCCACCACCTCCGGACCCGGCCCTGGCTCAGGCCTTTGCCCACCATCTTCTCTCCCCGGAGCCAGAACATCTAGGAGGTGGCTCTTTTCTCCAGGGGCATTGACACTGTGCCCCCAGGAGCCTCAGGGATTCCACGCAGGTGTCTTAGGCTCATTCTTCCAGGCCCTCGTTCTAGCATTTCCCAGAGTCCTGGGCAGAAACTGGGATATTCTGGGTAAGACTGTGTCGAAGGGAGAGTTAAGCTGCTGGAGTTTGAAAACCACTGACAGCCCAACGCAGGTCATAGTGCTGGGCCCAGAGAGGGCAGCCCTTGCCCGGGCTCCTCAGATTCTACTTCACAGACACTTACACGGTCTTTTCTATGTGGCAGCACTGTCCTCAGGGTTTCACAGAGATGGAATCATTAGATCTTTTCAACAACCCTGCGAGGAAGGTACTTAGTACTATTATCCCCACTTGGCAGATGAGAAAACTGAGGAACAGAGAGGTTCGGTAACTTGCCCAAGGTCACACAGCTAGTAAGAGGTCACGCTGGAATCGGAACCCCCTTAGACCTTTAGGAGTAGGGAATATTAATCAAGCCTTTCTGAGCGCCTACTCTACTGTCTTCTCTCAAAGGAGGTGAAAGGCCTGCCCTTGAAGATTTAGGGCAACAAGCTGCACCCATAACATAAATTAAGTAAAAACGTCCCCATTACAAGCGTGGGGAGAGGTCTGCACTAGGTTAAGGAAGCTTGGGAATGGAAAGGTGTCTCCCAAGGGATCCAGGTTCCCAGGGCAGCTAACAGGGAGCAACTTTCCCATCCCCCACTCGATCCTAGAGATGTGCTCCCAGTGTCACCTGTCCCCAGGCCTTGGATAACTGCTCTCCAGATCACATTTCTGGTGGAGCCTGGTCTGATGAGGTTGGGGGTATTTTTAGCAACTTCCTGTCCCTATGGATGCTGGGGGAGGTATGGGGGCTGAGCGAGGCCACAGGATGAAGAGGGAACCAGGGGGTTAGTCCGGGATTGAGCCTGGTGCTCTGAGATGGGACTGGGGGTGGGTTGGGGGGGAGGGGAGGAAAATGGGGTCAGAATGCAGCAGAAAAGTTGGCAAGGGAGGAATCTAGGTTTGGGGAAGTTTGACAGGTTCCTATTCTTAAGTGGCGGTTGGTGCATAGCCCCGGGCGGCAGAAGATAAGGCCGGTCCCTGTCCTCAGGGGCTTACAGTCCGAGGGAGTGGATGGAGGTCACCTGGAGGCAGTTAGGGGCAGGTGGGGCAGGTATAACGAAGGCGGCTGAGTACTGAGGTCCCCAGGCCCGGGAGGGGAACTGCCCCGCTGTCGAGGGCATGGATTGCCAGGCAGGGCCCAGGGCTGAGATGCCCGCCCTTGCTGGTCCACAGCCGACTACATCGTGCTGCAGTTCGGCCGCGTGGCCGAGGACGCCTTCACCCTAGACTACCGGTACCCGCTGTGCGCCCTGCAGGCCTTCGCCATCGCCCTGTCCAGCTTCGACGGGAAGCTAGCTTGCGAGTGATGGCGGCGGCACCCCAAGTCCCAGAGCCGCCGGGGTCGGAAAGGACTCGGTGGAGGCTTCAGGGTCCCCTCACCAAAGCCCCCACTGAGGACGCCTCCTGTGTCAGGAGCTGACCCCTAACTGCCTCCAGGTGACCTCCATCCACTCCCCGGCCTGGCAGAGGCCGAGCGGGGGGCGGAGCTCAGACGGCGGGTGCGGAGCAGATGAAGAACATCTGGAGCTGGAGCCGCACATCTGGTCGCAGCGCTCGCCTGCACGCTCCACACACACACACACACACACACACACACACACACACACCCCGCCCCCGCCCGGCAGCCACTTCCTGTCCAGGGTCGGTAGCCAGTGCGGCTTTAACCCCTGAGGGACCGCGCTGTCGGGGTGGCGGGTGATGGGGCGAGGACGGGCACGCACATCCCCAATAAAGCTGCGTCCCGGCGGCGGAGCCGCGGTGCTGCGCGCAGAGGAGGGCGGTGGGAGGGTCCGCGGGCGGCGCAGGCCTCCCGCCCGCTCCACTCCGCCCAGGCCCCGGGCGCCCCCGTGTCCCTCCCGGCCCGGCGCCGGTCCTACCGAAACGCGGCGAGCCCGCCGTGGCCAGACGCCCCCCGCGGGCCCCGGGAGCCGGGCGAGAGGGCGGGCGCGGAGGTCCGGGAAGAGGGGGAAAGGGAGAAATTGGAGAAACAAGCCTCTCGGGGAGAACCAGACAAACCGGGTTCGGGCAGGGCGGGAGCAGCCGCCAGGGTGGGGCGGGCCCCGAGTGGGGGGCGGGCTCTCCGGCGGGAGGGTAGCCCGCCTCGGCTCGCGCGGGGTGGGGGTAGGGATCCCGGAGGCTGGGCGCCTCGGGATCCCGACAGGGGACCCCGACCCCGGACCCCGACCCCGACGGGAGTTCGCTCTTCAGCGGGAGCGCCGCCCTCGGTCCCGCCCAGGCCGACGCCCCACTCTCCGGTGGCGCCGGGAGCGCTCCCCGCCGGCCGGGCGCAGGCAGCGGCTGGAGTCGCGCAGCGAAGCCCGGGCGGACCGACGGCGGGAGCCCCGGTGCGGCGGCCACGCCCCCCTCCGGCCCCGCCCCGCGCCCCGCCCCGCGCCCCGCCCCCTCCCGCAGCCCCCACCCCCCGCCGGGCTCTTCAACACAAACTTTCCGTCCCGCTCGCTCCCTCCTCCGCGCCCGGCGCCTCCCGCTCGCGTCCGGCTCATTCCGCACATTCCGGTCGGCACCCTCCCCGCGACCCTCCCCGCGACCCCCTCCCCGCGACCCCCTCCCGGCCCCGCGGCCCGCGGCCCGGCAGCGCCCGGCGGAGCGCCCCCGCCAGCTCGGACCAGGTAAGCCGCGGGCACCGCGGAGGCCCCGCGGGGAGAGGTGGCGGGTGGGTCGGTCGGTTGTGATTTGGGAATGGGGATTCCAGGGGGGCTGGGCCCCTGAACTATTGTCCACCCCGAGCCGGAGCCCCGGATTTGGGTGCCGGGAAGTTTAGAGGGAAGGGGGGGAGCTCTCCGGGAAGCCCCGCCCACCAGCACCCCGCCGCGACCGGGACTAGCTGGTCGGGGAGGTCGGGGAGCCGAGAGGTGGCCCCGCTGCCATCAGCTGTCCCAGCGTCCGCCTCTGGGGTGTCAGGACAGGGGCCCGGGGCCGGCACGGTTCGGGGGGCTGCCACGGAGGCTCTCGTACCCAGGGCGCCCATCCCCGGGCCGCGCCGCCCTTTGGACTCAGGCTCGCGCTCCCGGAGCCCGCCCGGCCCAGCCGCACAGGCCGCCGGCCTCGGCGCCCGGCTCCCGCGCGCTGCCCGCTCCCGCGGCTGCGCTGGGGCGTGGGGGGTGTCGGGGCCAGGCTGCGCCCGGCTGTGCCCCCGGGGCGCAGGGGCCTGCGTGCCCTCCGGCTCCGCGCCTGTGTCCGGGGAGGTTCTGCCCTGAGCGCTGCGCGCCCCGCTCCGAAGGCGGCTGGATTTGGGGCCTTCTCTTCGCCACGCTTTCTCAGAGCCCTGGTCTAGGCTTTAGGGTTGAAGGCGGCTCGTCCTGACCATCACCACGTCGGCCGATCCCTTTACTCCTGCCGGGGGAGGGAGGGCGGGATGCCGGTCTGCACCCGCCTCCAGCCCGGCCAGGCCCTGTCATGGAGACCCCGCTCGGTCCCCTTTCTAGGAGAGCGGCCCGGACCCAGGGCTGAGAGATTCGTTCCGGACAAGTGCGAGTGGGGCCGGGGGGAGTCTTCTGTGTGTCTTCCCTCTCCAGGTAGAGGCAGAAGCAGGTCAGGCCTGGACTTGTAGCCGGGAGATCAGGGGTAGGGCTGGGGGCTGGGCAGCCCACGGCGCACTGTGTCCTGCCTTCCGTGGCCTGGTTCTAGGGAGGCGCGATCCACCCCGGAGGGAGGCCTCCTTGACCAGAAAGCGGGGGGCAGCCTGGGGCAAGAAGGGAAATCCAAGTCCCCAAAAGCTGGAGATTTGGGAGAGCTACGTCCCCCTCCCTTCCAGGTATTTGTAGCTCCTTTTCCAAGGGGTGTCAACCCAGGACGTGTTTCCGTGGAACGCTGGGCCCCCGCGCACTCAGTGGGCAGATGTATCTCCTATGAAATAGTGTTGTGTTGAGGGTGACTTCGTGGGCCCCGGATGCCCCCCTCCGAGAGAGGCTGGAGCCAATGGGAGTCTGACCTGGGGCCTTCCCCTAGCCCCCTAGACAGGGGACAGTAATTAATGTTAATTAGGCATTTGGGCTGGGGAACACTGAGTAGGATGGTCAGTGATTGGCAGGACGGAGCTGTGTGTGTGTGTGTGTCCTGGGCCCTGTTCCTGCCCTCACCCTCAGAACCTGGTACATTCTACCAGATGAGGAAATATTAAAACTAGAATGAAACATCTCACAGAGGAAGCCTAGAAATTCGATATCTGGTCCCAACTGGACTTGAGCCAGCGGTGTCATCTTGGTGGGCCTTGTCAGGCCTCAGTTTCCCTGCTGGGAACAGTGGCTTCCCAGGTCCCTTTTCTCTGAGCCCCTCCCGGAGGCTCTGTCACTCAGCCTTCCGCCCCTCCCATTATGGAACTGGAACCTGTGTGGTCTGGAGAGGTCATGGGTGACCCTGTGGTCTTAGCAAGAAGGCGAGGACAAGCCAGGGGTGACTGAGGAGAAGCTGAACCAGGTAAGCGTGGCCACAGTAGTTGCAGGCAGCAGGGCTCGAGGGACAGGGAAGCCAGGTGGAGTGGGGGAACTTGCCCGCTGAAGTGGCCATGGGGTCTGGCAAGCGGGATGGGATGAGTGGCATCAGAGGCCACTTGGGTAGAGGGCCCTGCGCCTGGCTCCCGACCCCCAACTCCTTAGGCCTCAGTGTTGAGCTGCAAGGGTGTCAGCCCTGCCCATCTCCGCACTCAGGAGGAGCAGGGGACAGAGGCTTCAGCTCTGAGAAGGGTAGGGAAGGGTGCTGGTAGCACCAGGCCGGGGAGCTGGCGTCCGTCATGGCTCTAAATACTGCAGCTTTCTGTGGAGGTGGCGTGGAGGTCACCCCCTCTTCTTCCCACATGGAGGCTGCAGAAGCTGGAGGTCCCAGGGGTGGCCTTGAGGACCCAGGTCTCTGCGGACCTCCTCGGGGCAGCCCTGGGGCCATGGCGGGAGCTTCCCTGGTCAGAGCTGGAGCAGAGGTCAGCACGTGACCCCCGCTCTGTCCCCATGGCCTTGCCCTGACCTCCCCTTCCTCCTGGTGTGGTGCCAGCCTCGGGCTGGCTGCAGGAGAGGGGCTGCCCCTCGGGGAAAACACAGGATGGAGAGGGTCCCCGCAGGAGGCCGTGGGCAGGGAGAATTCTCTCCCTGGGATCCCCGCAGCCCCAGCCTGGAGGTTTCCTAGAGAGCTGATTGCTTCCTGTGCTCCCTGCCAGGCCCGAGAGGACAGGAAGCGATAGCGGGAAAAGAGTGCAACTGTGGGTGCCGCTGGAGGCGTGCGCGAGAAACCCAGGGGACACTGGGGGAGTCTGTGCGGTGGGTGCGGGCACGAGCGAACCAGGCACAACCAGTTTGTGTGCGCGGCTGCGTGCGAGGCTGGACAGATGCACGAGAGCCTGTATGTGACATGTCTGTGTGACTGCACTGCATGTACATGGGCGAACCTGTGTGATGATGGTGAGTGTGGCTGAGTGCTCACGGGTGTGTTTAGGAGAGACGCTGGCTCCGGACCATCGGGGGAGCCTGAGTCTGGCCCTGGGTGGGATTGTGATGCTCTGCGTGTGTGAGGGACACAGCGATGGGGTGACGCTGTGCGTGTCAGAGTAGAATGAGTAATTCTGTGTGACCCAGGGCGCTGTGGCGTGGCCGCTTATGATGCTGCGTGTGCGCACAGCATGTGAGATGGTCTCAGTGTATAGGACTCTCATGGTCTGTGTGTGTGACACTTTGTTTTGTTTTTGTGTAGGATTTTTGGTGGAGATCTGGGGAAGGATCCCAGGTGTATATGACATTTTGTATGAGAAAAACTGATGGTATGGGGGGTGTGAGTGAGTGTGTGTGAGTGTGTGTGAGTGTGAGTGTGTGTGTGAGTGTGTATGAGTGTGCATGAGTATGACTGTGTGTATGTGAGTGAGTGTGAGTGTGAGTGAGTGAGTGTGTGTGAGTGTGCGTGAGTATGACTGTGTGTATGTGAGTGTGAGTGTGAGTGAGTGTGTGCGTGTGTGTGAGTGTGCATGAGTATGACTGTGTGTATGTGAGTGTGAGTGTGAGTGAGTGTGTGCGTGTGTGTGAGTGTGCGTGAGTATGACTGTGTGCATGTGAGTATGACTGTGTGCGTGTGAGTGAGTGTGAGTGTGTGTGAGACACCAGGACATGGAGGGCCGCGTCGGCGCAGTGGACGCGCTCAGCGCTGTGGAGGCTGCGTGTGAAGGAAGGTGTGCAGGAACAGCACCAGGGAAACGGCTTGGCGTTGCGTGTGAGGGACGGGGGTGACAGGCGCCTCTGTGGGTGGTCACTGTCTGGGGTTGTTTGGGGCTGTAGGACAGTGTGGGCGGCATCCTGCAGGGCTGTGCCAGGCGTGGCGTGGGGCCGTGTGACAGATTGGGGGCCTGGTCTCAGTGCATGTGGCGCTGTGTGGGGGACCTTCAAAAAGATGACTTAAAAACAAGAAGGCATGCATTTAATGCCACTGAACTGCGCACTTAAAAATGGTTAAGGCTGGCCGCTGTGGCTCAGTGGTGAGTGTCGACCTATGAACCAGGAGGTCATGGTTCGATTCCAGTCAGGCCATATGCTGTGGTTACGGGCTTGATCACCAGTGTGGGGTGTGCTGGGGGCAGCCAATCAATGATTCTCTTTCATCATTGATGTTTCTACCTCTCCCTCTTCCTTCCTCTCTGAAATCAATAAAAGTATATTTTTTAAAAAATGGTTAAAATCGGCCCTGGCCGGGCGCGCAGTGGTTAGAGCATTGGCCCTCAGGCTGAAGGGTCCCGGGCTCCATTCCAGTACCTCGGTGACAGGCTCAATCCCCGCCCGCCCCGGGTCAGGGCGAGTGCGGGAGACAACCAATCAATGTGTCTCTCCCATCGATGTTTCTCTCTCTGTTTCTCCCTCTCCCTCTCCCTTCCACTCTCTCCAAAAAGCAATGGAAAAGTATCCTCCAGTGCGGATTAACAAAACAAAACAAATCAATGAAACACATTCTCGGGTGAAGATTTTAAAAATTGTTAAAATCATAGATTTTATATTGTATATTTCTTATCACAATAAAATGAAAAGCAGAGGAGAGCGATGCCGGTGGCAGCGAATGTGAGGTCAGTGTGTGTAGCGGGAGCCGGGGGGGGGGGGGGGGGGGGGGCGGCGAGCCCGGTGTCTCTGGAAGACATCACATCGCGACTCTCGTGGTGGGGGGGGGGGGGATTGACTGCTGGCAACTAGCGGGTGACTCGGGCCGGGGTGCAGGCGGCCCGAGTGGGGGGCACGGCGTGTGAATTGAGAACTGTGGGATCCAGTTTCCCAAGTTACCCACTAGCTGTATCTCTGTTCCCCCTAAACGCGGACACAGGCCTTGGCTGGAGATGGACAAGATGAGGAGACAGGACAGAATCTCGGGGTGGGGGTGAAGGGAGGAGTAGGAACGGGCCCGCCCTACCCTCGCACCCTCCTACACTGCGGGTGGGGGGCAGGGTGCTGACTTTGGGGCCAGCTTTGGAGAAGGGAGCCTGGGGTTCCTCTGCTCCCTGAGCCGCCGCTGTGCCCTGCGTAGGGGGGGCGGGGGCGGGTCTTGATTCCCAAATTGGAAGCACATTAATAAGGGGGAGAGGGGAGGAGGCCCCCACCCCCTCCTAGTTGACTCTGCAAATTGCTTCCTCCTGTAAAAACCCGACCCTGCTCCAGGGGGAGGGAGCTCCCTCCCCAGCCTAGAGGGTGTGGCCACTTGGCAGGGTCCCTGGGGGTCCTTGGACGGGAGCTGGGGGAGGCACCATCACCCCCATCCCTCCCCACTCTCGGGTCTCAGCTAGAGCTGGGCCACTTTGAGGGTGGGAGGCTCCGGCAGCTGGAGAACAGCTGGCCTCTCTGTGGGCTGGGTGGGGAGGAGGGGGAGCATGGGGAGGCTCCCTTAGCTCTCATCCACCGCCTCCCCTTCCTCACCCCCTGGCCGGCCAGCCCAGCCCAGGTTTGGGGTGGGATTCAGGATGGAACGCTGATTTCAGTCATCTTCCCACACTTTGAGGGGCTGGGGTGCCTGCAAGAGTGGACGCTGCCAGCCACCAGACCCAGCAGGGCCACCAGGTGCGGTGTGTCCGCCCAGTGGGCTGGTGCCAGGGGAGGAATAAATGTGGGGGACACCCGCCTGGACTTGCCCTGTCTGCCTGCCCGTCCACCAGGGCAGAGGGGAGCCCAAGCCGAGGTCTGGAGGCCGAGGGGCCATAGGCTGGGGGCCTGGTGCCTCTGCAGCAGCCCCAGCTCGGCCTCCGTCCCTGGAGCTGTCCAGCCAGTTATTCCAGCAGGCCTGGCCCCAGGACAGGGAGTGGGCCGCAAGGTGCCCCTTATCTCCCCGGCCCGGGCCGGCTCACCCAGCCTAGCTCCCATCCCTGCACCACCCAGCGCACCTCTGACCTCTGAGCCTGAGGGCCGCTGGTCAGACTGAGGGTAAAGGTAGATGGGACCACAGGAGGTCCGGCCCATGGCAATGCGGCCTCTGCTGGGGGAGGTCGGGTGGGAGGTTGTCTGTGAGGAGGCGGGAGGAGCAGATGGGACAGGGATGGGGATGTCCTGGACATGGCATTGTGGCTGACCCCAGCCCCCAGAGTGGCCTTCCCTTCTTTCTAGGTCTCCCCTGGCCTCTGGGTCTTTCTGCCATTTGTTTTTCTTTCTTTTCTGCTCGCCTCCCCTCCCCTCCCCCCTCCACTCCCCTCCCTTTTCCCCTACTCACCCCTCCCTTGCCCTCCCCTCCCCTCCACCCTCCACCCTCCACTCCCCTGCCTTCCCCTCCCCTCTCTCCTCCTCACCCCTCCCCTCCTCTTTCTTCTCTGTTCTCATCACCTCTCCCCTTCACTCCCTTCTTTCCTCCCCTCTATCCCCCTCCTCTTCCCTCCCCTCCTCTGTCCTACTCTCCTCTGTCCTCCTCTCCTCCCCTCCTCTGTCCTCCTCTCCTCCCCTCCTCTGTCCTCCTCTCCTCCCCTCCTCTTCGCTCCTCTGTCCCCCTCCTCTCCCCTCCCCTCCCCTCCCCTCTCCTCTCCTCTCCTCTCCTCTCCTCTCCTCTCCTCTCCTCTCCTCTCCTCTCCTCTCCTCTGTCCTCTGGCTCCTACCCCCTACCCCCTACCCCCTACCTAGCTTGCCCACTCCTGTATCTGAGTTCATGGATCTTTCCCCTTCCGGACCCTCTAATCCCCCTCCTCTCTATACCCCGCTCCAAACGCCCCCAGACTCTCCCTCTTCCCCTCCAGCCCATCTCAAGCTCCACCCGCCTTGTCTCTCACTCAGGTCTTTCTTCTTCTCTCCCCTCTTGGTGGCAAAGCCCAGCAAGGCAGCGGTTCTAGCCACCTGGGCGAGTAAGGATGGGGTGGGGGCTGGAGCTGGGGCTGGGGTGGGGAACCGCCACCCCCCCCCCAACCCTGCCTGTACAGGGAGATGAGACCCGAGTCTGGGCTGGGGCTGCCACCCAGGAGGCCTGCCCTCTCAGCCCACACACTGAGCCCCACATTTGCCCCACATCCATCCAGCCCCTGCAGCTGCCGAGAGCCTCCCCCACCCCGGCTGGGTCCCGTGTCTGGGGTCTAAGCAGAGGAGGCGGCACACACTGGCCTCGGGCCTCACCCCACAGCCGTAACTGGGGGCCAGAGCAGCCTCCAGACCCAGGCTGGCCCTCCCGGGTGTGCCATGGAAACCCCAGTTCAGTGCCCACTGCCCATGGGCACGCCTCAGCCGGGCACACATTCTCGGTGGGTGTCCCCCGGCACCCGCACAGCACACCTGCACACACGCGCCGCTGTGCATGGCTGCGGCTGGGGTCGCCTGTGCGCGTGTGGGTGCCTCTGCCACACCAGAGCTCCTGGAAAAGGGGCTTGCCTGTGCCCGGGAGCCTGAGGGGGGGGACCCACGGGGGTCCTCGCCTCTCCTTGACTGTCCTTGCAGCCACCCCCTCCCCCTCACCAGCTGCCAGCGGTCCCAGCCAGGGCCGCCCCACCCCCGTCTGTCCCAGCTCCCGAGCTGCTGTGTTCGCCATATTTGGCCACAGTGCTCCTGCGGGGGGCGGGGCGGGCCTGACATCACCCGGGAGGGGGGCCACCGCCTGGGTGGGGGGAGGCGGACAGAGACTTGGGGGAGGCAGGCAAGTTGCTTTGAAAAGTCGGCTGCCAGGGGCCCCCATGCCCTGGGCCTCCACTGCTCTGAGCGAGGCCGCAGGGAGGCTTGGCGGGGAGATGGGTTGAGACTGGGTAGAGGGTCCCAGCTCACTGCAGCCCCCTCCTGCCTCCTGCTGACGGCTGTGCCAGCGTCACCCTGGGGAGAGTCCTGGGCTCCGGCTGCTTTAGTGCAGGAGTCTCTGCGTCCCCAGGTCCCTGCTCCCCCACATTTTTACTCCCAGAACTTGGCCTGGGGGCTGAGGTGAGGCTGCGATGGGGACACGGTCCTGGGGTGGAGACCTGAGGCACAGTGTGTGGCTGCCTCTGCTGGCTGCCCCGGAGCCCTCCCGAGAGGGCTACAGCAGTGCCGGGGTCCCTGAAGTTGCCCCAGCCACTTGGGCTTAAGGGTGCCCCTGGTCTGGACCCCACTGGGACGCTCAGAGTGGTTGCCATGACAACGTGGCTTCCTCCCTAGCACAGGTGCTGGAGTTCTCAGCCCCATCCCTTGGGTAAGAGACTGGAGCCAGATTGCCTGGGTTCAGAACCTGCTCTAGTACTTCCTAGCTGGGTGTCCTTGAGCAGGTTGCTTAACCTCTCTGTTCATTGGTTTCCTCATATGTAAAGTGGGAGCAATCACAGTATCTGTCCCAGAGGTTACTGTGAGAATTACATGAGTCCGTGTGTGTACACACAAGAACAGGGCCTGCCTTTTGGCAGGTGCTGCCGTCAGTAGCAGCATTAAGTCTACACTCTGTATCCATGTGACATGCAGGCTCCCCGGGCCCTCCCATCCCTTGGCACTAGCCACCTCCTTCAAGCTTCCCAAGCCAACAGGTGTCCCCACGGGGAGACCTCCACCCATTCAGCAGGACCTGGAATTCATGTCTGCGGTGGGCGGGGGGGGGGGGGGGATTCCCTTCCTGGTTTCTGAGGGGGTCCCCCACATTCCTGCCCTGCCCCTGCTTGCCCTACAGCCCAGAGCGAAGCCCCAGGATCTAGCCATCCCAGCACCCTGGGCATGCAGATCCCGAGGCTGATGGGGGGAGGGCTTGGGGCTCCCTAGGGGGGGGGGGAGGGTGGACTGGGACTGGGTGGGTGTGGTCTAAATTAACAACCAGCCTGGCGTTTGCAGGGAACTCTGTTTGCAGGGAACTCGGAGTTTACAGAGCCTGGCCCGTCCACGATGTGAGCCAGGACAGGGGCGGGCATGTGGGTGGTTTATGGGCTGCTGTAGGCCCAGAGGTGCGGGAACAGGAAGTGGGATGGAGGAGCGGGTGGGGTTGAGCAAGGCTGCTGGCCAGGCACCTTCTGGGCTGCTCCCTTGCCAGCCAGCGGCTCTCCTGCAATTCCGGGGGCACTTCTGCCCCAAGTTTGGGCTCCTTAGCAGGGTTCTCGAGAGTTACCTTTTGGGCAAGGCAAGCCTCACCCTTCCTCACCCCCAGCAGGTCCTCAGTAGGGTTGCAGGGATGCTGGGGGAGAAGGAGGGCTGGGGATCCCCGAGACAGGAAGCAGGAGCTGGCAGGAGCCCCTCAGAGCTGCAGACACCTGGGCTGCCCCTCCGACCCTTCTCCCCTTGCCCATCCTGCTGCCTTTGACAGCCGTGTGACCTGGCGAGCCTCGGTTTTCCTCACCTGGAAGATGGGCATCACGCCTTGCCCCCTGCCTTGGATTCTGGGACTGAGTGAACGGGCTGTGTAGCTAGAAGGCATTGTTGTTGTTGACCACGAGTGTTGAGTCAGGCATTGTGGTTGGCACTTGTCACGATCCAATTTCAACCCTCGCAACCTCAGGGAGACCCTTTCCTCATTTTACAGGACCAGGGGTCGGACAGGCGAACTCACCCCTCCCAGGTCACACAGCACTGAGTTCACCTCTGGTGACCTCCGCCTCGCCCCGAGCGCCTGCCCCTGGCGGGGAGGTGGCTGTGGCCTGGGAGGACCCTGGCCCTCACCCTCTCGTCTGCCCCCCAGGCTCAGGCTGCCCAGTGGGCTCAGGCCCAGAGCCCAGAGAAACCAGCACAATAGCGTCCAACAGCTGGACCGCCAGCAGCAGCCCCGGGGAAGCCCGGGAGGATGGGCCCGAGGGCCTGGACAAGGGGCTGGACAACGATGCGGAGGGCGTGTGGAGCCCGGACATCGAGCAGAGCTTCCAGGAGGCGCTGGCCATCTACCCGCCCTGCGGCCGCCGCAAGATCATCCTGTCGGACGAGGGCAAGATGTACGGTGCGTGTGGGGAGGCGTGGGGCTGGGACACTGAGGGCTGGGGAAGCAGCTGGCCCTCCGCCCCGCCCCCTGCTCTCTGCCCCCTCACCCAACCGGTTTGGGCCAGTCCTAAGGCTGCCAGCCGCTGGGCGGGCGAGTCGGTGCGTGCAAGCCTGTGTGTCTGGATCCTCCTCATAAACACGCCAGGCTTGCCCCTCCGCCAGCGCGTGGCTCACACCTTGCACCCCATCCGCTTCTCCTCTCCTGCCCACTGCCCCTGGAGGTTTCGGGGTGACTCAGTGGGCCCAGGAAACTGGGTCAGTCCAGTGTGCTCCAGGCGAGGCCTGGGAGAGGGTTCTTCCCTGGTGGCAGGATGTGGGGGAGCCTGAGGGGTGAGGCCTAGGGCGGGAGTGAGGGGGAGGCCTGCAGGCTGGTGGGAAGCCACCGTGAAGGGGCTGTGCTGGGAAGAGGGCTGGAGGGATGGCTCATGCCTCAGGCCCTCCCCGGCCTCCCCCTCTGGGGCTCTCTGCCACCTTGCCCACCTGCTGCCTCCAGAAGGGAGTGCCCCCTCTTGCCTAGTGCTGAGGGCTCTCCCCGAGTGGCATTTTTGGGATAACTCAACCCTTCTTGGCCTGGCTCCTTGCCAGCTCCCTCCAACCCTCCCTGGCAGCCTGGCTAAGTGAGGAGGCCCAGCCTCTCCCTCCCAGCACCCAGCACCAGGGCGCGTAGGAAGGAGGCAGCTGAGGCCTGGAGTCCCCTGCCCCACCCGCTGCCACACCCACCCCAGCACAGCTCGCCAGGCCACTGTGCAGGCAGATGTTCCACGGCGGGAGCTCCGGCCCCACTGCCACCTCCCCGTGGTGGGGCAGCCCCACGGGTATTTTTAGATGGGGTGGAGGGAGGGGGTGGAGAGGGGCAGGAAGGGAGGAGCGGTGGGGCTGGTTCTGTCATCAAAAAGGAATTTGAAGAATGTGGCCATTCTGGGGAGACTGGAGGTGAGGGGCCTGGATTTGGGGGGTAAGGAGTATACACCCTGAGGATGCTGACAGGCAATTAGTCATGTGCCCCGAGCACCCCTCTCCTGGGCCAAGTCCCCCTGCGCAGTCCCCCACCCTGAGACTGACAGGCCAGGTGTGTCTCAGGGCGCAGCCACTGGTAACCTGCGACATGGGTGACAGGCTCAGTGACACATCTTGACACAGACTGTCCGTGTAGGAGGTGCTGGGAGGCCACGGGCCTCCTGCCTGTTGTAGCCGAGAAGGGAAGGGACTTGTCCAGGGCCTCCCCAGGGAAGGGCAGCCAGGCAGGCACCAGCCCAGCCATTGCAGACACATGGCCACTGAGAAGACAGCAGCCGGCCAGGCCTCCCTCACACACACACACACACACACACACACACACACACACACTGGGTACCCCGACCAGGCCTCCCTCACTCAGAGATACCCCAGCCAGGCCTCCCTCACCCAGGGTACCCGGGCCACGCCTCCCTCACAGGGGGTACCCCAGACAGGCCTCCCTCACAGGGGATACCCCGGCCAGGCCTCCCTCACCCAGGGTACCCCGGCCACGCCTCCCTCACAGGGGGTACCCCGGCCAGGCCTCCCTCAAAGGGGGTACCCCAGACAGGCCTCCCTCACAGGGGTACCCCAGACAGGCCTCCCTCACAGGGGTACCCCAGACTGGCCTCCCTCACAGGGGGTACCCCGGCCAGGCCTCCCTCACAGGGGTACCCCAGACAGGCCTCCCTCACAGGGGGTACCCCAGACAGGCCTCCCTCACAGGGGTACCCCAGACAGGCCTCCCTCACACGGGGTACCCCAGACAGGCCTCCCTCACACGGGGTACCCCAGACAGGCCTCCCTCACAGGGGATACCCTGGCCAGGCCTCCCTCACACAAGGGTACTCCAGACTGGCCTCCCTCACAGGGGATACCCTGGCCAGGCCTCCCTCACACGGGGTACCCCAGACAGGCCTCCCTCACAGGGGTACCCCGGCCAGGCCTCCCTCACAGGGGGTACCGCAGCCAGGCCTCCCTCACACGGGTACCCCGGCCAGGCCTCTCACACGGGGTACCCCGGCCAGGCCTCCCTCACAGGGGTACCCCGGCCAGGCCTCCCTCATGGGGTCTGCACTCAGAGGTCTGCAGCTGGTGGCAGGCCCTGGAGGAAGAAAGCTGCTGGGGCTGGGAGTGAGGGGCCCAGCTTCCTGCCCTGGGGCCACACCTGCCCCTGTCTGTCCTGCAGGGACACCTGTCCAGCCGCCTGACATGGGTCTGACTCCCTCCCTCCCTCCCTCCCTCCGCTGCCCCTGTCCCCCTCCCCCAGGGAGAGGCCCCAGGCCCTGGAGGGTGGGGGAGCACCTGGGGCCTCCCAGCACCCTTGGCTGCCCTGCTGTGCCCTGAGGTGGGGGCTGGAGGGGGAAAGGGCCTGGTGTGGGTCCAGCCTCCAGCCACCAGCCACTGTTTTCTCTCTCGCCCATCTAGGTCGGAACGAGCTGATCGCGCGCTATATTAAACTGAGGACGGGCAAGACCCGGACGAGAAAGCAGGTAGAGACTGCTGCTGTGGAGGCCGCCCTGCCTGCACGCTCTCAGCCCCTCGTCCCCATGCCCCGCCCCGCCCTCTCTGTGCCACTTCACACCCCCTCGAGCTGCATCGTCACTCACCACTGGCTTCTCTGACCACCCACCACCCACCTAAGACTTGTGGTTCAGTGACCGATGATACGGCCGCGGGGCAGCCGTGGCAGCTCCATGGTCACTGCCCTGAGAGGCCCACTGGCCAGTCAGGGGACAGACGGCTGGATGGACGTGTGCAGGGGGTGCGCTGTGGGGCAGGCTCCTAGCCCAGGCCGGGCAGGGGAGGGGAGGAGCGGGCGGGAAGGCTTCCTAAAGGGAAAGGATTTTCGGGCGGGAGAGGGAGGAGAGGGAGCGGTTCTCCAGGCTGAGGAAGTCGGACACAGATGTAACTGTGAGTCCGCACAGAGCTACTTGCTATTCCTTCCCTTGGTCCTCACAGCAGCCTTAGCGGTAGGCACAGCCGTCCCCTCCGTTTTACAGAAAAGGAAACTGAGGCACGGGAAGTTTAGTAACTGCCTTGCTGGTAGGTGGTGGGTCCAGGGTTCAGCCCATTAGGCAGGAAAGAGCCTTCAGCCAGCAGAGTGGGGGAGGGGGGGGAAGGAAGAACGGAGGGCCAGTGGTGAGCGATTCAGCTGCCCACGGACAGGTTCCCGCTGGCGGCAGCTGGGGCCGTGGAAGGGACTAGAGCAGGAGTGGCTGGGGGCAGGGGGCAGGAATGTTGGCGCTGGAGCAGCCGGCCATGGGTTAGGGCCGGACAGGGGCCTAGAGCAACAGCAGTGGTGGCCGGGGTAGTGGCAGGGGTGAGGGTAGGGATGGTGGATGGGAAAACACGATGAGCTGAGAGGTGACTGGGCGGCGGGCAGTCCAGGGAGGGCAGCGTGTGCACAGGAGACCTGAAGGGAATTGTTCCGGGTGGGTTGCCCGGGGGGTTGCCCGGGAGACAGGCAGCCTGGAGGCAGGTTCCTGGAGGAGTGGAGGCCCCTCTGACCCTCAAACTCCCCCCCACCCCCCTGCTGGGGCCGGCGTGGGCTGGGCCCTGCACCCACCTCCCGGGCTGCATAGACAGGCTGAGCTGTCCCACCCACTGCCTCGAAGGGAGGTTCGGAGTCCAGTACCCAGCGGGAGCATTTGTGAGCCACTGCCCTCGGGCAGCTCAGGTCGCACCGCATTTATTTCTTTAGCAAGTGATTGAGCTCCTACTGCGTTCCAGGCACGAGGGATGCAGCAGGGAACCAGACATTCACGGGCCCTGGGCCCTGGGCCCTGTTCCCTGGAGCCTGGGAGCAGGAGGAACACTGCCTGTCAGACCCCTGGGTTCAAGCTCCTGCTGCCTCTCTGCCGGGAGGTGCGTGTCCTGCCTCACCCAACAGACATGTTCATAGGACGTGTGTCGGGGGGAAGGGGCTGAGGCACCCGAGGCCCAGAGCGGGTAGAGAGCCTCTTCCTTCTGGGCCCGCGTTATACCTGCCCATGGCCAGTATCCCGTGAAGGCTGGCTGGCCAGTGAAGTTTTATTTTCATTATAAAATAAAATGATAAAACACTAATTATAAACGAAACCAGCTGTCGGCAAGCTCAGAGCTTTAAAAACCGCTGGCCTTCGTCATTTTGCAGGGGCGGCACTCCTCTAACTTCATTTTCCCTTCTAACTCCCGGATCTAATATCTCCTTGCCGGGGAGCTGTCCCATGTGGTGAGGACAAGGCGTGTGCTTTTGTGTCTCAAAGAGCAAGCCGCTGACAGGGTTGTTTCAGTGTTTTTGTTTGTTTGTTTGTTTTTTAAATATATTTTTATTGATTTCAGAGAGGAAGGAAGCGATAGAAACATCAGTGATGAGAGAGAATCACTGATTGGCTGCCTCCTGCGTGCTCCCCACTGGGGATCGAGCCTGAAACCCGGGCATGTGCCCTTGACCGGAATTGAACCTGGGACCCTTCAGTCCGCAGGCCGATGCTCTATCCACCGAGCCAAACCAGCTAGGGCCAGTTTTTTTTTTAATGCAGTTTTGGTTTTTTTACAGATATTTATACAATGAGTAGCAATATAGTGCCTTCATATGGCAAAAACCCAGCTAAATGTCGCTTAGGATTAAGTCCTCTGTGACTTCCAGCTGTCGCAGAGCTGACCATTGGGAGCTGAAAGAACCCAGGTAGCATCACCTGTGGTGAAGCAAGGGCCTCTGGAGTCAGGCCACCTGGGTTCGACCCCCAGCCCGGCCCCCAGCTGTGTGACCTCGGATAAGCTGCTACCCTCTCTGTGCTTTGGTTTCATTATCTGCAAATCGGAATAATATTAGTGCCGCCTTCTTAGTGGTGCTGTGGAGTCCGACGGGGTGGTGGATAAAGTGCTGGGAGCCCGGGAGGCGTGCGCAGTCAGCGTCCCTTGCGGCCGTGCCACGCCACGGTCGGTCGTCTGGCTGAGCTGTGTCTGATCCTTGCATGGTCTGAGGCGGGTGAGGAGCACCCGCCGGGGTCCTAACCAAGTACTATGGGGGCTGCCCAGCATCAGATACGTGGTCACTTTCAGTCTGTGATTAAAAAGGAAAAGAAACTTTTTTTGTGGGAATAAAGACTCCTTGCAAGGAAAGCCAACAGCAGTGGCTGGGAATGAAGGTGTGAGGTGCCTAGAGGAGCCACGTGTTCCCTTGTGTTTCAGGGAGAAAGTGGCATTTAGGTTCCCTGAGGCTCAGGGTCCGATCCTCCAAGTGTCAAGGGTGTGTGGCACCAGCCAGTGGCACACCCACCCTGACCGTGACCAGCTCAGGTTTGCTGGAGAGGAAGGCTTCAGGGAGGAGGTGCTGGAAAAGAAACACAATTAAGAGTTCCTACTGTGTGCCTTTATGTTTACTGCCATTTATTGGTCCAAGGAGAAGGGAGGCATGCTGGGGGAAGAAGCTGCGTGAGCAAAGCGGAGTAGGACAGGCCTGGCCGGTGGCCAGCGAGCGGGTGCGGTGACTGGAAGATGGAGGTGGTGGTATGGAGGGTGGGGGAGGATTATAGAGAAGATGGCCGGACATATACTCTCACGGCCAGCAGGACACATGCCATTGCTAGCTCTGGTCAGCCTCGGGGGGGAGGGGGAGCGGAATAAAGGTCCACGTGCTCTTCCTCGGGGTTGATGCAGCCCTGCACCGGGCACACAGTGTGACCGCAGGGCTTGGGCCGGACTTTAGCGCTCACCACGGGTACCTTGCACAGTGGACAGCTGGTGGTCCTAGAAGCCCGTAGGCTCTTGATCACAACAGGGCCAAGAGGAAAGCAGAAGTGCCAGGCAGGGCTGCGAGTGTCTGCCCCCGGGGGCCCCAGAGTCCCCCACTTACACCTGTTCCCAGAGACGAGGGCCGGCTGCTGCCTGTGGCACCAAGCTCACCTCCTCACTGTGTGTTTCCCTCTCTGGCCGGGCGCGGGGCGGCCCCTAGGTGTCCAGCCACATACAGGTTCTAGCTCGGAAGAAGGTGCGGGAGTACCAGGTTGGCATCAAGGTATGTTGGACCTGACTGGGGCCTCCAGCCCCTCCTGGGCCCCTTTCCACGGCACCTGCACCGCTGCCTGCACCGCTCGGACCTTGGCCTCGGCCAGCTCTCCGGCCCCCTGTGCCTCTTTTCCGGCTGAAGCTCTGTTCTTGCCTCTTCTTCCACTCTCTGCTCTTTCTTTCTTTCTCTCTCTCTCTCTACAGGTCTCTAGCCACTTGCAGGTTCTAGCCAGGCGGAAATCTCGGGAGATTCAGTCCAAGCTGAAGGTATGGGGTCCCTTGCCGCTTGGCCTGGCCCTGGCCCTGCCCAGGCCTGTGGCTGCTCTCTGACCCCAGCTCGGGACAGGGAGGGGGCCGAGGAGCAAGAAGCCCAAAGGCCGCTGCAGGCTACACAGGCCCCGGAGACCGAGCAGGACAGCAGTCCTTCAGTGAAGGAGAGGGAGACCATCTGGGCCCCGAAGGCCCCCTCTCTTCTCCGATTTCCTTTTCCTCCTTCCTCCTTTGCTGCTTGCTGATTGCACGGGGACTTCAGGAGGGCAGGGGGAGACGCTGGAGCGCATGGGCCGGCAGAGCTATTGTGTGGGCGTGGCCGTTCCTTCCATTGGACACTCCGTCCTGGCTGCCCTGTGCCTGAGGACCTCAGAGCCTGCGTTCACGGCCTGGACCCTGGTCAGGGCCCCTGCTGGCTGCATCTTCTTCTCTCTGCCCATAGCTGCCCAGCAGCCTGGTACATGAGCAGACCTCAGGGACACCAGCTTGGGCCACCATCTAGGTCTCCAGCCTGTCCTCCGTCATCCTACCCTGTCCAGGGCACCCCCAGCTTAGAAACACTGCCTCTGGGTGGCAGAGGGTGTGGGGGGGGGGGGGGCGGGGGGCTGGGAGGTCCACAGCCACCTCAGCTTCCCTGGGCTTCCCAGAAGCTGGGAGCCAGGTGGGCGTGGAGTGGAGGGAGGTGAGAAGACAGTCGTTCCCCCCCCCCCCTCCCCCATATAGCCCTCATTTGTGCCTCTTCTAATCATGCTCCCTCTCCTTCACAGGCCATGAACCTGGTAAGTAGCACTGCCCCTCCCCTAGGGGACCTCGGGGGGAGAGCACCTAACATAGAATTTTCAAATTCTGGATTGTAGATCAGTGTAGCTGACAGGTTCTCAAACCTTAGCACGCATCAGAATTGCCAGCAGGGCTGGTGGAGACATTTTGGGCCTCACCCCCAGGCTTTCTGATTCAGAGGCCTGAGCGGGGCCTGAAACTTGGCCTTTTTAGCAAGCTTTCAGGCGATGCTGGTGCGATTGGTCCGGGACCGTACTTTGAGAACCACTGAGAAAATACAATAGAAAGTATGACAGTGCATGACACAAATTGGGGGACATATTTTGGTACCTGCTAGGTTATAGAATGAAATAAAATTGTTTCTTACTGTGCACTGTGGTTAGAGGGGCGATGGACACTTAGGAGACAGGCCAGAGAGGGGCCGAGGGCCTCCTTAGGCCACACAGCAGAGCTGGGGCTGTAATCCAGACATGGACTTCCAGAGCCCCGAGAGCCTGGGGGGGGGGCCCTGGGGCAAGCCCTGTCCTGTCTGCCCTCATGCGGCGCCTCCCTCCCCTAGGACCAGGTCTCCAAGGACAAAGCCCTCCAGAGCATGGCGTCCATGTCCTCTGCCCAGATCGTCTCCGCCAGCGTGCTACAGAACAAGTTCAGCCCGCCCTCCCCGCTGCCCCAGGCCGTCTTCTCCACTTCCTCACGGGTACGGTGCGGGGTCTGGGAGGTGGGGCTGGGGGGTGAGGACCATAGATTCTGAGGGACCTCTGGCTTTGTCCCATCTCTGCAGTTCTGGAGCAGCCCCCCTCTCCTGGGACAGCAGCCCGGACCCTCTCAGGAGTGAGTATCCTGGTGCATCCTCCCCACACCCTCTGCTTTCCCTCAGCCGCCGACCTAGGCTTCCCCTCTCATCAGGGTTCCAGCAACAAATGAGCCATTTTTAATTCAAAAGCCGAGGGATGGAGTGCGCCAGTAAGAGAGCTAATGCACTTGTCTGTTCATTCACGTGTTTATTCATTCGTCAACCCACTCATCCCCTTGTCACCCGTCCTTCAGCTATTTTTCATTCAGCCAGTCTCTGAATTCACCTCTCAGCCGAGCAGCCAAGTGTACTCGGTCCCTCCAGTTCTCAGATGACTTTCTTCCAGAAACGCCCTCTGTTTAAGCACGGCCTCCCGGGAGGGTGGGACGCTGTATTAAATGTGCACGTCGGCTGTGGGAGCAGCGGGATCTCACAGAAGTTAGTGTGGAGCAGGCAAGCCGGCCAGCAGACGCCGGGGCCTCTGCAGAAAGGCTAGGGCTGGTGGCTCTCTGCTGGGATCCCAGACGAGACCCAAGTGACTAGGCTGGATGGAGGGTGGGGCAGGGGATGGCCCTCTAACCAGGCTGTGCTCCTGTCTGCAGCATCAAGCCCTTTGCACAGCCAGCCTACCCCATCCAGCCGCCCCTGCCGCCGGCGCTCAGCAGTAAGTTCCCGGGGGCTCCGCCACCGCCTGCCCTTCCCTGGGCACCTGCCCCTCTGCTCCGAGCGCTTGGGCCCAACTGTGTGTGAGCACGTGTGTGTGCCCGGGTGTGAGCACGTGTGTGCCCGGGTGTGAGCACGTGTGTGTGCCCATGTGTGAGCACATGTGTGTGCCCGTGTGAGCACATGTGTGTGCCCATGTGTAAGTACATGTGTGTTTGCCCGTGTGTGAGCACATGTGTGTGCCCGTGTGTAAGTACATGTGTGTGCCTGTGTGTGAGCACATGTGTGTGCCCGTGTGTGAGTACATGTGTGTGTGCCCGTGTGAGCACATGTGTGTGCCCGTGTGTAAGTACATGTGTGTGTGCCCATGTGTGAGCACATGTCTGTGCCCGTGTGTGAGTACATGTGTGTGCCCGTGTGTGAGTACATGTGTGTGCCCATGTGTGAACACGTGTGTGCCCATGTGTGAACGTGTGTGTGTGTGTGTGTGTGTGTGTGTGTGTGTGTACGCGCACATGGCCGTGCCCTCCGGGAGAGAGGAGTGGGTGGCATCTATAGGGATCGGGACAGACCAGGAGTAGCCCCCTTACAGTGTCATCCCCCCCCTTCCGCTGCAAGTGCACACCACCAACAGCATCACATTCATAGACTGTGTGTATATAAAATCCTTGTTAGGAAATACACCAAAGTCTTAACAGTTTCATTCTAAGTGTTGGGATTTTGGATAATTTTTAAAATGTTTTCATTAATTTTAGAGAGAGGAAGGGAGAGGGAAAAAGAGAAACATCGATGAAACACGCATCGGCTGCCTCCTGCGCGCCCCCTACTGGGGGCCCAGTGGAGACTTGGGCACGTGCCCAAACCGGAGTGGAACCCGCGGCCTCTCAGTGCGTGGGCGACTCTCAACCAACTGAGCCACACTGGCCAGGGCAGGATAATTATTATTTTCCCCTTTGACATGTCTGTTTTCTGCTTGAACACCCGCTAACAGTGACTAAGGGAAAACCCGCCAGGTACGCACGGGGCCCCACACAGGCAGGCAGGCTGCACACGGCACAAGGGCACCCCGCGGGGCGTGGGAGTCCAGCCTGGCCGCCTCCCCAGAGGGCTCTGCGCGGGCGACCACGCACCCCGCCCACGAGGGTCACCCCCCACCCCCAGGTTACGAGCCCCTGGCCCCGCTGCCCCCGGCCGCCGCCTCGGCACCCGCGTGGCAGGACCGCACCATCGCCTCCTCCCGCCTGCGGCTCCTCGAGTACTCCGCCTTCATGGAGGTGCAGCGCGACCCCGACACGGTAACGTGTTCAATGTGTTTGGTGGGGCGAGGGGACCCCGCGGCGGTCCAGGGCCACAGCTAGGTCACGGGGTGGGGCAGCCACAGGCCCCCCCCTGCCCTCCCCCCTCCCCACCCCCCTGCGCCCCCTGCTCTCCTGACCCGCTGCTGCCCTCCCCACAGTACAGCAAACACTTGTTTGTGCACATCGGCCAGACAAACCCCGCCTTCTCGGACCCGCCCCTGGAGGCCGTGGACGTGCGTCAGATCTACGACAAGTTCCCCGAGAAGAAGGGCGGACTGAAGGAGCTGTACGAGAAAGGCCCCCCGAATGCCTTCTTCCTGGTCAAGTTCTGGGTGAGCCGCCCCTGCGCCCCCCAGCCCCTCCCCTCCCCCAGACCTGCAGTCCCGGGCCCACCCTACTGGCCACCTCTCTCCCCAGGGCGGTGGGCAGTGCCTGGGCGATGGGCAGTTCCTGGGCGGGGGGCAGTGCCTGGGCGGTGGGCAGTGCCGGGGCGGTGGGCAGTTCCTGGGCGGTGGGCAGTTCCTGGGCGGTGGGCAGTTCCTGGGCGGTGGGCAGTGCCGGGGCGGTGGGCAGTTCCTGGGCGGTGGGCAGTTCCTGGGCGGTGGGCAGTGCCGGGGCGGTGGGCAGTGCCGGGGCGGTGGGCAGTGCCTGGGCGGTGGGCAGTTCCTGGGCGGTGGGCAGTTCCTGGGCGGTGGGCAGTGCCGGGGCGGTGGGCAGTTCCTGGGCGGTGGGCAGTGCCGGGGCGGTGGGCAGTGCCGGGGCGGTGGGCAGTTCCTGGGCGGTGGGCAGTGCCGGGGCGGTGGGCAGTGCCGGGGCGGTGGGCAGTGCCGGGGCGGTGGGCAGTGCCGGGGCGGTGGGCAGTGCCGGGGCGGTGGGCAGTGCCTGGGCGGTGGGCAGTGCCGGGGCGGTGGGCAGTGCCGGGGCGGTGGGCAGTGCCGGGGCGGTGGGCAGTGCCTGGGCGGTGGGCAGTGCCGGGGCGGTGGGCAGTGCCGGGGCGGTGGGCAGTGCCTGGGCGGTGGGCAGTGCCGGGGCGGCGGGCAGGACGCCCACGGGGATGGCGGAAGCCTCGCTCGGGCCTCCAGCAGCTCACGCCGCCCGCCCTCCTGCAGGCCGACCTCAGCAGCACCATCCAGGAGGGCCCGGGCGCCTTCTACGGGGTCAGCTCCCAGTACAGCTCAGCCGACAGCATGACCATCAGCGTCTCCACCAAGGTGTGCTCCTTCGGCAAGCAGGTGGTGGAGAAGGTGGAGGTGAGTGGGGTCCCGGGGTGGGGGGATGGGGGAGGGGGTGGGGCGCGGCCAGGAGCAGGCCCCAGCGAGGCCTCCTCTCCGCAGACCGAGTACGCGCAGCTGGAGAACGGGCGCTTCGTGTACCGCATCCACCGCTCGCCCATGTGTGAGTACATGATCAACTTCATCCACAAGCTGAAGCACCTGCCGGAGAAGTACATGATGAACAGCGTCCTGGAGAACTTCACCATCCTGCAGGTGAGCGGCTGGTGTGGGCTCGCGGGTCCGGGGGAGGCCGGACCCATTGCTCAGAGAAAGAGACTGAGCCCCCAGGGGAGCAGGGGCAGCTCAGCCCGCACTCCCAGGCCCTGCGCTGCCCAACCTGAATCCTCCTGCCCGGCCCCAGGTGGTCACCAGCCGCGACTCCCAGGAGACCCTGCTCGTCATTGCTTTTGTCTTCGAAGTCTCCACCAGCGAGCACGGGGCCCAGCACCACGTCTACAAGCTCGTCAAAGACTAGGGTGCCCTCTGCCCCACCACCAGGATCCAGGACGAGCCTCTTCTCACACACCTGCCTGGCACCCCAGGGTCCAGGATTGAGGACTCATCTGCCTGCCAGGCCTCGGCCCAGGGCCAGGAGGCCTCCCCACCTGCTCCAGCACACACCCCCTGCCACTGTTCTGCGCTTTAACTGTGGGAGAAGGGAGGGGGCTCAGCGGTGGGGCAGCCTGGCTGGGTCGCCGAGCCACCATCACTTCGGTCTGCCCAGCCTCAGTGAATGGGAGGACACCTTTGGCTCAGGTGTGTGTGGCCACTGGCCCCTCAGGGCTGGGACAGGTGGGTGAGGGAGACTGGAGGGGAGGCGGAGTGCAGAGGCCAGGAAGGAGTGTGGAGCTGGGGTTGCGCTGAGAAGAGAGAGGCCCACACTGTCTTTGCACCTGCCATGTGCCAGGCCCAGTGCCTCCTACCATCCTCTGACCTGCAAAGCAATCATGGGTCTCGGTGTCACAGATGAGGAGTCTGGAGGGGGTGGGGGGGGGGGCAGAGTTGGAGTTCTCACCAGGGCTGCCTGTCCGGAGCCCAGTTTACACACCGCCCTGCCTCGGACCGGCCCCAGGCTGGGGAGGGGCTCTACACTGAGGGGCGGGTTGGGGCCCCTGACACGGGGAGCCGCTGCCTCTGACCAGCAGGGAAGGGGAGCAGCAGGTACTCACACCTGTTGGGCGCCCTCTGTCAGCCTAGCATCCAGCCAGGGCCCCGGGAGGGAGGCTCCTGCGCCACTCCCCCCACGCTGCCCTGGCCCAGATCCTTTGCCAGGCTCCCCAGCAGCCGCCTGACGGGAAGGACCCCAGGGGCAGGCCCAGGCTCAGAAGCAGGTTGGAGGGTCAGGTAGGAAGATGCCAGTCCCTGGGCAGATCTGTGGCCCGGGCACAAGAGGCCGCACAGGCTTCGGTATTTTCTCTTGCCCAGTGAACCCTCAGCAGTGCCACTACCTTGCTCTTCCCGGTGCCAGTCTCCCTGCCTGGAGCAGCTCCCCAGACCTCGTTCTGGGACTGAAGGTGCACCCTGCCCACTGCCTTTTCCCACCATCCGGCCCCTCAGTGCCCGGCCTCCGGGCATCGATGAGTTTCATATGAAGTACTGTGCCCTGCCCTGCCCTGCCCTGACCCCACCCCTGAGCTTCCTGAAGGTCCTCACAGTTTGCATATCGCTCAGGCCACCTCCAAACCCAACCTAGGTTTTATAATGTATATTATATATATTTTTGTGTATTTTTTAAATCCAGCTGTGATGGGTTATATCATAAACGTGGCACAGGGCTGGGGCAGGCGCCCTCAAGGCCTACTCAGAAAGAGAAATTAAAGTTATTTGTTTGTGGGTTAGTCGTGTGACCAGTTGTGTGCCAGGCCTCTGGGTTGGAACAGCTTCAGGGGGGCTCTCCCTGGTTATGTCCTGGTGTGTCACCTCCCCCCATCTTTTCCGGGGGCCCCCAAGCCCTACCCTCAGTCTAAAGAGGTGTGATTCTGGGGTCCCATGAACGCTTTCCAGCTTCAACCTTTCTCCATATCCACACCCCTCCTGCCGTGGGTTGCACACTGAACTCAGCCCAGCCTGCCGAGGTTTCCTGTTGTTCTCTCTCTCTCTCTCTCTCTCTCTCACACACACACACACACACACAGAAAAGCCATTTATTTTGTCTTATGATCCTAGACAAAATAAATTCAAGCTAAAGACTGCCTATAGCACTTTTCTGCTTTCGGGGACCAGTTTTTATTATTACTACAGGCCCAATGCATGAAATTCATGCAAGGGTAGGCCCTTGCAACCCCAGCTTCATCCGAAGGTCGGAAGGTCGTCTGGATGGTCGTTCTGCTGTCCAGTCTAATTAGCATATTAGCTCTTTATTATATAGGATTATTATTATTACTGAGTTTTAGAGATACAGAAAGGAGGGAGAGAGAAACATCGATGTGAAAGTGAAATGGATGGAATAGCTTTGTCGCTAAGTGACGTGACTTGCCCAAGGTCACACACCTGCTGAGATGGGCCACCTGCTAAATCCCCATGGTCTTCTCAGTGTCTGCTGCTGTTCTCACCGGCCTGCCCTCACTTTACTCCCGAGGAAAGAGCTCAAGGCAGGTGAGTGCTCTCAGCAGTGGATAGCTGCCAGCGGGGCAGGCCAGACCAAGCTGCCCCTGTCCGCCCGGGGAAGCACACAGCGGGGATGCAGCGTGGCCGTGGGGAGGCCGTACCCTCGGTGGACATGCATTGTTTATCTGAAATTCAGATTTAACTGGGCACCCTGCATTTTCTTTTTAAATTATTTTATTCATTTTACAGAGAGGAAGGGAGAGAGAGTTAGAAGCATTGATGAGAGAAACATCGATCAGCCGCCTCCTGCACGCCCCCTACTGGGGATTGTGCGTGCAACCAAGGTACATTACCCCTGACCGGAATCGAACCTGGGACCCTTCAGTCGGAGGGCGGATGCTCTGTCCACTGAGCCAAACCGGTTAGGGCAGCATCCTGTATTTTCATTTGCTAAATCTGCCAACCCTACTCCAGAATCTAGAGTCTTCTAGATCATTCTGGTCCAGCTCCAACTTTGCAGCTGGGGAGGAGACTGAGGCTCCTCTCCTCACTCAGCCAGTCAGGGGCAACCCCAGGATGTGAACTGCTCTGCTTGTCCCAAGCCCCTGCCCCTGGTGCACTACTTCAATGACCAGGTGGCCCTTGTCTTGGTCACCGCACTGGAGGGACTTCAGACTGTCACCAGTAGCATCTGGAGCTCCCGCCAGGTGGGAGGGGGTTCTGGAGGCAGAAACTGGCTTATGAAGGACCCTGGGGCTGGATGAAAAATCCAATCTCTGCACTAATAAGTAATGACATTGCCCTGGCCAGGGGTGTTCAGTGGTTGGAGCATTGGCTTGTGCACTGGAGGGTCTGTGGTTCGATTCCTGGTCGGGGCATGTATGGGAGGCAATCAATCAATATGCCTCTGTCTCACCAATGTTTCTCTCCCCTCCTTTTCCTCTCCCCTCTCCCTTCCACTCTCTAGAATCAATGGAAAAAATACACTCACTCCTCAAGTGAGGATTTTAAAAAACGTGATGACTCCTATTGAGTGATTGAAGTGTCATCATGAGGGTTGTTGCCATCACTACTCTCCTGGAGCAATCAGCCGTCCGTAACTGCTTTAAGGATAATGTAGGTCTCTCATGCAGAAAATTCAAGGCGTGCAATTGACCAGCCTCCTTGCTTTCTCTCTCTCTCTCTCTCTCTCTTTTTAAAATATATATTTTATTTATTTTAGAGAGGAAGGGAGAGGGAGAGAGAGAAACATCCATGATGAGAGAGAATCATTGATTGGCTGCCTCCTGCACGCCCCCTACTGGGGATCGAGCCCATAACCCAGGCATGTGCCCTGAGCAGAATCAAACCCGGGACCCTTTAGTCTGCAGGCGACGCTCTATCCGCTGAGTCAAACCAGCTAGGGCGCTTTCTCTCTTTTCTTTACCGCCTGCCCCCAACCACAAATGTAACATGAAGTGGTGATGACTCACTGTGAGGTTACAGAGTAGGGAAGGAACCAGGATAAGGTGGGTTGGAGTGTTGTCCTGATAGGTCAGGGTTGTGGGCTCCATCCCTGGCAGGGCACATATAGGAAGCAACCAATGAATGCATAAGTGGAAGAACAAATGGGTGTTTTTTTCCTCTCTACTTCTCTCTCTAAATTCAACAAATAAAAATTATATATATAAAGGTGGGTCTTGGGGGCCCAAAGCCCCGGCTCTGGCAGTGGCTCTCCTGTCAGGGTCTGTGGGAAGCTGTACAGAAGGGTCAGCAAAGCTGGAGCCCAAAGAAGGGGCCTATAGTCCTGTCTTTCCTGCCCCTCTGTTTCTGTCCTGATGTTTCCGGGGGAAAGGGAGGGTGCCATCTTTTCATCAATTCCACAGTCAAAGCCAGAGCACTGCCCTGGGGTTTCATGAGGGCTCATTTCCCTGCACACAACTGCTGGAAAAGGGGCTCCCCAGGTATCTGAGCCCGGAATTATAGCTCAGGTCACACTGAGCTTTGCACTCATCATTCTGGAGGCTGGGATTTGATGAAATAGCTCAACCCTCATTTACAATAGATTCTGTCTCCTCCCGCCCCCATCCGCGCCCCCCACCCCCACCCCCCACCACCAGATGCTGTGGGCCTCTGAGAGCAGCCTTTGGGTCTCTAAACAGATTCCCCAGAGCCCAGCTGAAGGTGGTGAGTGTGTCCAGTGTAGAGCTGGGTTTTAAGGACTCTTACAAAGTGGAGTAGGTTTGACTTAAATTCAGGTTCAGATCAATGCAGGAAGATTCAAGTTCCCAAGTAGTTCTAAAACACCCATTTGCCTTGCCTTGGAGTTTCCAAAACTTCTTTAAAAACAAGACAAAACTAAACTCCACTTCCCATCTTCCAACTTTTATACATTAGTTGCCAGGTGGGTTTTTTTTTGTTTGTTTTAAAAATATATATTTTATTGATTTTTTACAGAGAAGAAGGGAGAGGGATAGAGAGAAACATCGATCAGCTGCCTCCTGCACACTCCCTACTGGGTATGTGCCCGCAACGGGAATCAAACCCAGGACCCTTCAGTCCACAGGTTGACACTCTATCCACTGAGCCAAACCAGCTAGGGCCGTATGCTTTTAAGTTTACTCTCTTTCATGTGGGTACCATCATCACCTGCACTTCCAAATAGAAAGCAAGAGTTTGAGAGACATTAACAGACTTGCTCAACAGGCTCCCCTGGCTCCCAAGTGCAGAGCTGAGGAGTCAAACTCAGGCAGTGGGGGACCTTGGGCCCTACAGGCAATTACTGACATGGCTGGTCTTGCATCCAGCAGGTTGAGTATACATCCGAGGCCATGAGAAACCTCTGAAACCTTGGCTCAGGATGCCTGCTCACGACAGGACCACTGTGGATACAGATGTCTTTCTGGTCTTGGACTCATAGAGGTGAACTGCACTGGGTGCCCACCAAGGAGCCCACCTGTTTGCTCTATGCCTTTGCCTCATGGCTCTATTTTCTCTTAATTATACCCATTGCCCTATAAGCAGCTTTGTGGCAGGGACAAGGCATCCTATATAATAAAAGTGTAGTATGCAAATTGTCCCCTCAACTGGGGGTTCATCCAGGAGTTCAACCAGGGGGCAGGGCCAGCCTGGGGAAGTTGGGGAGGCCTGGGGAAGTGGGGGAGTACCTGGCCGGCAGCCAGCAGCTGCTAGGGACCCAACCAGTGCACGAAATTCGTGCACTGGGCCTCTAGTAAAATATACTCACACTTGTTACTTTTTTATTACATTCCTCTAGTTACTAAATCACAAATTTTCTCACCCTATTTTTTAAAAAATATTTTTTAAGGGAGAGGGATAGAAACATTAATGCAAAACACTGCTGGGCTGCCTCTTGCATGCCCCCTACTGGGGATTGAGCCCACAACTGGATGTGCCCTGACGAGGGATTGAACCAGTGACCTCCTGATGCATGCATGGGTTGATGCTAAACCACTGAGCCAGACCAGCTGGGCTGCCTTTTTTTCTTGATTACAAAGATTACAGAAATTCAGAAATTCCCCCAAACCATTTAACTGAGTTAAACATAGTCAAATTTTATGTAAGCTTCCAATGATTTTTACTATGCATAAACACTTCTAAAATTGGGTCCTAATTTTATAGCCAGCTTTTCCCCTCCTTAGGTAAGGGAACATTGTTAAACAAGCCTATTTTATTACTCCTAATACTACAATAGACCAGAGAAAAGAGCAAGCTAGGCCTACCTTGAGAACCAACTCATTCTCATCCGATTAGTGTAGCTACTTTACCTGCAAATTTAACTTAAAAGCTGAAATGGCAAACTACTCAAGGTCTACTTTGAGAACCTTGTACACTTGTCAGTTTCACGTCAGATGAACCTTGTTTTAAGAAGGTGCATTTTTATTTATGCTTTGGATGAGCCTTTCAGCTCTATTAAAGCTGTTGGGACACCCAGCCAGTGTTGCTTCAGGTCATGGTTCAACCCTGCTTGGGTTGCTGGCTCAAACCCCAAAAGGGAACCTGCAGGAGGCAGCTCATGGGTGTTTCTCACTTCTCCCTTCTCTGAAATAAACTGGATGGGTTCTGGCTAGTTTGGCTCAGTGGATATTGAATGTCAGCCTTCAGCTCAAGGGTCTCAGGTTCAATCCCAGTCTGGGCACATGCCCGAGTTGTGGGCTCAGACCCAGCAGGGGATGTGCAGGAGGCAACTGATCAGTGACTTTCATGATTGATGTTTCTCTCCCCCTCAATTTGAAATACCAATAAAAAAATATATAAAAAAAAACTGGTGGGATGAGCTGGCCCCTTTATT